AACCCCAACCCCAACCCCAACCCCAACCCCAACCCCAACCCCAACCCCAACCCCAACCCCAACCCCAACCCCAACCCCAACCCCAACCCCAACCCCAACCCCAACCCCAACCCCAACCCCAACCCCAACCCCAACCCCAACCCCAACCCCAACCCCAACCCCAACCCCAACCCCAACCCCAACCCCAACCCCAACCCCAACCCCAACCCCAACCCCAACCCCAACCCCAACCCCAAATAATATCATTCAATCAATCAATCATAATTTTGAAAAATTAATTATAAAAATTTGCATTTATTATATTTTTTAAAATAAAATATTATTTTTAACTGATTTTAGATTTTCATAAGCTAGTAGAATTATTTAATAAAAAATATTTTTATTTTCACAAAAAAATGCTTTCAATCTAATTACTTTTTTGATTTGATTAATTAATTAAAAAAACAAAATATTTAAAATGAAACTGGTCCAAAATGTAAAAACATTTCTTTTTCTAAACTTTCCTAACTCTAAAGTTTGAAACTCAATTCCAAGTAAAAATTAGTATTTATTTTATTATAAAATTTAAAAAATAATTAATTAATTATCTTTTTTCAAAATATTGTAATATTTATTTAAATATACATTAATTTTTGATTTAGTTTTTTTAAAAGATATTTATTGTTTTATTTAATAGTTTAATTTAAAATTATTAAATATATCATTTAGTTCTATAAACATAATACAGCTAAAAGATACCCTTATTTAATTATGAAATTTAATATTTAATTTATGAATTTAAATAAATAAAAATACACTATATTATATTTAATAATTTTTATAATACATTTTTATTCTAAGCTGATCAATCAATTTGTTAATAAATTTATTGCTCAATAAAAAAATATCAAAAAAATTTTTTATTTTAAAAATGATCATTTGATTTTATAAATTTAGATTTAATTAAATTTAAAATAAAAAAAATAAATAATTTAATTTAAAATATAAATTTTCATAAAATTGAATTATTTAAACATGAAGTAAATGAAAGTCTTTGTATTTATTAAATTCAAATTTTATTGGATTATTATCATACCAAACAAATAAATAACCAATATAAAAATGAAAATTTAAATTCCTCTAAATCTCTTAAAAATAAAATGAATCAGTTTACAAAATAAATTTAGAATTCTAATTGAAATATTTGTCTGTCTTTAAATAAATAAATGAATTTTATTATAAAAATTTAATTTATTCAAAGTTACAAATCATTAATTTATATTTGAAACTAATAAATTAAGATTAATAATGTTTTAATAGAATGAAAATACTATCTCATTCATAGATTAGTTTGAATTTTTAAAAAGATACCAGCTAAATAATAAAAATTATTGATTTTTGATTATTTATTTATTTATAAATATTAGGCCTTTTTTTATAGCAAAAAGCGATTCACAAATAAATATGAATACAACTAAAAATATAAAAGCAAGGAACATTTTTAAGGTTTTAATAATAAATTTGATATTAATTACAGCAACTTTAGGTGCTTTCTTAAACTGTCCATGTGATTAATCTTCTACAGATTGTGATCTTTACTGTTGCTGTGATCAAAAATGTGATGATTATAATATATAAATATGGAAGAATAATTTTTAATGTGCTTATTAAAGTAAATTGGTTTTTAAGTAGATTATTCTAAGCGAAATATTAAAATTAATTTAAAATATAGCGTACAATACAGTTTGTTACAACAAAGGAACTATGTTTAGTATCAGCGAAAGAATTGCAGGAATTCAGTCTATTACAGATTCTTCAAATTAAAATTTAAAATGCATTAATGTAGATTAAGATACTATATTATCTACTCCAAATACAATAAGTGCCGATGATATAAGCAAGTTTAAATTATATGTGCAATCACAACCTGCAGTTTCTTTAGACACCACTCCGAATCTAATTGATGGACTAGATTAACATTATTCAGATTATTCAGCATTTTTAATTTCCTACTCTTCAAATTCAATTTATAAAAATGAAAATTATAATAATAATCAAAATATTAAATGTGATACCTAAGCAATTACACTAAATGCGATTAATAATAATAAATATATGTGTATAGGAGAAACTCTTCATATTTTTGGTGGAGCTCCCACTATTCAAATTACTTAAAAATAATCATCAAGTTAAAGCACTTGTACATCTTCAGCCAATTAATCCAAATGCATAATTCCCTATTTAAAATCTGGTTATAGCAAAAATCCTATTTATTTATAATCCACCCAAAATTTCTTCTTTTAGAATACTACGGCTTCAACATTACCAATGAAGTAAAATAAATTTATTTATTTATTTATTATTTTTTATTAACTTATCAAAATAAATCATTATTTTTAATTAATTAAGTTTCTTGTATAGATTTTTAATAAAAAAATATATAAAACATATTAAAAGTCTTGTTAAAACTTCAAAAAGAATCAAATTTTTAATTGAAATTAAAAGTAATCATTAAAGAAGATATAAATAATGTGATTAAAATCATTTAATAATCAATTAATCAATCAATATTTTTGCTATTTAACTAATTATATTTTATTACCAACTAATAAAAAATTTGAATTTAATTATTAAATAGACCATATTTCTAGAGAACAGAAGTAATATATGATAGTATCGATTATAATTCTTGGATGATAGAAAACTCAATGCCAACTACTCCAACATTTTTCCCATAACTCCCTCCAGTAATATTTAAAATAATAATTTATTAATCAATCAAAATATTAACAAAAATAAAATAAAATAAAATAATAATAGGACATTTTCTACCCAATTTGGTTTGAGTCTAATTAGTAATCAGGAAGAATATTACAATTTTAAACTATAATTTTATTGTTAATTTTAAATGTTTTTATATGAATATTTTTTATCGCTTTGAACTAGCTAGATAGATAGATAACTCTTAATTTTATTAAGGGATAATAAATAATTAATTAGTTAAGCTTTTTTTTATTCAATACAAAATTATTTTAATTTAAACGTTCGTTTTCTTTCTTTTTCATTTTTGCTTTTTGTCTTTCTTTTTTTAACTTCTGCTTCTGTCTCTTTTGGAATCGTGCTTTCTGTCTCTATTTTTATCTTTTCTGCTGGCAGATACAGATGATCTCGAATATGTTCTTGAAGGAGAGAGAGATCTCTTTCTCTTTTTTTCCTTACTAGCACTCCTTCTTTCTCTACTTTTACTATTTCTTTTTCTATCTCTGCTGTTGCTTCTATTTTTTTCTCTCTTTTTATCTCTACTATCACTTCTTTTTCTATCTTTATTACCCTATTTCCTTTCCTATCTTTCATTACTATGGCTTCTTTTTCTATCTTTTTTTGAGTGTCTACTTTCATATTCAGTATCATCTTTTTCTTAAGAACGTGAATCATTTCTCCTTTTGTGCTGATGATGATCTATTTTTAATTAAAATGCATTTATTTTTACAAATTTAATTTATGTTTTGTTTAAATTACTTAAATTTTCATCTTATTTACTACTATCACTTCTATTCTCTTATTCTTTTCTATTGTTTCTGTACCTTTCTCTTTCTCTTTCCTTAAATGAGTCTAATCTCTCTTTCTTATTAGCATATTTATCCTCACCTTAATCAAATACCATTTTATGCTTTGATGTGTTATAGTTGTTATTTCTATAAAATTTAGAAAACTCTATGTTTTCAAATGATGTTTCAAGCTTTTTATTGCTTTAATTTTGGTTGGGCTTTTTATTATTCTTAAATTTTTAAAGACTTTAACAAAAATCAACATGAACTCTTCTTTCATCAATAAGGGCTCCTTTCATTTTAAAGTATGCTTCTTGACAAGACTTTTCAGTTTCAAACTCTATAAACGCATATTGCAATGATTAACCTGTCTTCCAATCTCTAACAACTTCGCATCTAGTAATAACTCCAAACCTAGAGAATATAATTTCCAAATCTCTTTCTTAAGTCACAGGATTTAGTTAACAAACAAATAAAACGTTTTCAGGTGGTCTCATGTCTGCATCAGGAATATCACCAATCATTTGAAGTTTGATTTCCCTCATCTTTTAAATTTATAATTTGGCTTCTTCAATAATTTCTTCCTCTGTTTTGTCTGATTCATTTAAAATTTTCTCCTTTTCATAAAATTCTAGTCTATCATTGTCACTCTTTTCTATTGGCAGAGGCGATTAATCAGGCTCTACTAAATTTTCTGGATCTTCAAATGGATCATCAATAACTATAGTATGTAGAATTCTATGATTTATGTAAGGTTTATTATCATTGTCTACGATTACATCTGTGTTGAATTTTTCAAGTATATCAATGCCTACTTAAACCTAGCCAAAAATAGTGTGCTTTTCATCAAAATGTTATAAATGAGAGCTCGTCAAAGTTATAAAAAATTCGGAAGTATTTCTATCCTAGCCTATATTTGAAGTTGAAAGCAACCCAATTTTATTGTGTTTATTGGTAGGATCTATTTCATCATGAATATATTACTGATCTCCTCCTGTTTCAACAAAAACAGTGGTTGCTTTCTTTGATTTAATTGATGTTAAGTAATTCTTTTAAACTTCATAAAAAAGGGCATTGTTGTAATGTTTAAGCTTGCATAACTTTAAAAAGTTTTTGCTTATTTCAGGTGCTTTCTAAACAAATAAATCTACTTCTAAATCGCCTAACGACGTTTCTATAATTAAAGACATTGAATAAAACCTTTTAATTTGATTATTTCAAATAAATAAAAAGATAAATCAATCAATCAATATTTTGATTAATTAACAAATTGAAGATATTTTATTATTAGAAATTATTTATTTAATTTTAGTTTTTATCTAGCCAGAAATTAATTATAAATCAATTGAATTAATTATCTTAAATTCATTAAAAAAATAAACTTGTAGGTCGAAATGCTAATTATAAATTGTTAATATTTTCTTTAATTTTTATTATTTTTTTTTTCTTAATTTTCAAATTTTATTTTTTTATCTTTGTTTATTCATTTATTTTTCAGTTATGATTGTTTTTTTAATTTTCTTTTTTTTTTTGAATTTTTATTTTAATAAATCATTAATTTTTCTCTCATTTTCTGTTTTTTATAGATACTTTATCTTATTTATTAGATAGATAGATACAAGGCGAGCTTATTTGCATTAAAATTATTTCTAAAATAAATAAATTGAGTTTATAAAAATATGGCATTACAAGGAAAAATGTGTGTTTTATTATTATTATTCGATTAATCCATTTGCTATGTATTTATTTATGTTTCAAGTTTTGTTATTATTCATATTAAACAGGATGCGATTTCATTAAGAAATAGAATCTGTAGTAAAATCGACATGTTTTAGGTATTGCAATTTTGTTTAATTCTGAATTAACAGAAATTATTTTACAGATTCTCGGGTATTTTCTTTTAAAAACTTATATGAATAATAATTTTTCTTGAAACATATTAACGATTTTTGTTTTTTTTTGTTTAATTTTTTATCAATTAAATATTTGATTTTTTTTGATTTTATAAATAATTTATAGTTAAAAATTTATTAAGTGAGAAGGTAAATAGAAGAAATTAAGTTAATAAATAAATAAATAAAAAAGTCTTTGTCTAAACTGATTATCTCAAAATGAATAGAAAGAATATACTTTTCCCAAAATGGTAAATTAATAAATTCAGAAATTGACTTGAAATTAATTCTTAAGTAAATACTTTGTTTTAATCGAAACAACAATAGATAAGTAATCAATTTTAGTAATTATTTATTTTTAATTAAAAGAAAATAAATTAAATATTTTGTTAGAAAATTTAATAGAAAAACATAAAGATAAATTTTAGGAGATATTACATTATAATGTATTTAAATACAAATTATTATTAATTTTTTTTTTTTGTTAAATTCTGTTAGTTAGTTATTTATGAATGAAAATTTAATTTGAGTTATTATTTTAATCTATTTTAAATTTCAATCATCTTCACTGTCTTATTTCATATTAAAATTTATTTACTCATCATTTTCATGATCAGAATGTCTACCTTCTGAGAGTACTTCGTCATGATCGCCTCTTTCATAATCATCATCACCTGAATCAGAGAGTAAAGTATCAGATAAGGCATCGAAGTCTTTAGCAGTAACCTAGTTAGCTGCCAAATTTGTTTCAACATTCTCAACCTTAATTAAATTTTCATCATTTTTAACTTATTCGGATGATACAATTTAGCTTGCTTTATTTTCTTGAGTCATTTATGAATATTCCAAAGCCTCTTATTTTGTTACTTTGATTGCATGTTGACTGTAAGATTAAGCTCTTTTAGATTAGGCCCTAGTTAACCTTTGCTATTGTTTAAAACCTCTATAAGCACCTCCAACAGTCAAGTAAAGGATAAAAATAGATGCTACAAAAGCAGCTATGCATCTTGATGTGTTCATAAACTTTTCAATGTCATCTCCATTGAAACTGTCATAGAGAAGACCTGAAACAAAAGGTCCTAAAAACAGACCTAGAGAGTACCCAGCCATAAAGATACCAGAACTCATATCGCTACAAGCTCTTGTTAGTTTAGCGTCAGCGACAAGCATATTCCTTTCCTTAAGCTCTTTGTTAAGGATAAGCTCAATTAGTTCAGGTATAATTGGTAAAATAGTCATAGCAAATGCTACATTTGTTACACATTGCCCAATTGTCACTATATACCATAGATTGTCGCCTGATGGTAACCCAAAGTATTTTTCAGGTGCTTAAATTTCTACACCAATAGAAGCAATTAAAACTCCAGTTAACAAAATCAATTTTCTATTAACATACTTTGATATTCTAGGCATGAGATGCAAGCATGCAATATAAAAAACTGATCCTAACGGATAGACATAACCAGAAATATCATCATTTAAGCCTAGATTTTCCATATGTTCTGTGTATAATGTATTAATATAGGAGGCTGCAGTTAACCCAGCAACTAAAACCATAAAGGTAAAAAATATATATCTATTTGACAAGCATTTTAAAGAAGACACTTTATCAAGATCTTTCTTAGATTTAATATCAGGAGGAAGCCATCTTATTGTAATCAAGCAGCACATAAAGAGGAAACTTAAAATATAAAAAGGCATTTAATTACCAAGTCCTGTGTACATGACTTAACCTAAAATTGGTCCTAAAATTGTACCTAGTGCAGTTAAAGTTTCCATGATACTAATTTTTTTCTAAACACTATTTTTAATTAATATAAATCAATGAATATTTATTCATTTTTTGCAAAAATAATTTCTCAAATTCTCAAAATTCAAGTCAAATAGTGGTAAAAAATGTCATTTTATGTTATTAAATAACTATCAAAATTATTCTGAAGCAAGTAATTTTTATGACAAGAAAATAAATTAATTATAAATGATTTTTAAAATCCTTCAAAATTTCTTCTTTCTTTCATTCATTCATTATATTTTTTGAACTTAACATATTTTTACAATATTTATTCTTTTATTATAAAAGCAATTACGTAATAATTTATAATCAAATATCCACTCATTTAAAACAAATGATATAGTGTAAGATTTCCGATTAATATTAATTCATAAGACCAAATTTAAGAATCTGATTTCAGTTTTTCTTAAGATACTTTTTAAAAAAGTAATTAATTTAGCACTCCTAAAAAGTTGTTGGTGAATAAGGAGATAAAATATAATAATCATCAACAAAGGAAAAGCTACTTAAATATAAGCTTTTAAATACTAGAATTAACATACTATTTTTTAAATTTTCTTTTTATCTTTAATTTAATTTACATAATATATTTGACTTTTTTACATTTTTGATATGACTAAAAAAGCTAAAAATAAAAGCTTAACTTTATCGGATCTGATAAAGTAAATGTTAAAATGATTACGAATCTGGCCAAAGCTGTGGGACATACCCAAAGGATGAAGATCCATAAGCAGATCTTGCAGCTCCTTGGATGAATCTTGAAGTAGCAGATAGAATAATAAAAACCTTATCATTTTTCAAGTTACTCAAAGCTCCAAAGGATGCTATTGATATCGATTAAAATATCAAACCCCAAATCATAAGATTCTTTTTACCTAGTCTGCCCATCATCTATCCTACAATTAACGATGTAAGAAAACTACCAATAGGATTAAATGAAAGTATAAGTCCTATCATTGTAGAAGTAACACCAATATCTTTTGCTATAGGAGGAAAGAATGGCACAATAATAGATACAGCAGCATTCTAAAAAAAGTTCATTGAAGAAAGAGCAATCAAGTTCGCATCTAAACCGCATATGGTCTTCAGTGGAGGACTTTCATACTTTGCAGTTTTTGATTCAGTACGAGATACCAAAGGCTGTTTTATTTGCTCTTGTGAGCTATTATTTCTTGACATTGTTTTTTTTTTTAATATTTATATATTTTTTGTTTTCTTCCAAATATTAAGATAGCTTTTTAGTAAATATTAAGTTTATCAAATTAATTTTGATTGAATTATGGATATTTGAATTCATTTATAAACAAATATTTACATTATACTTCTAAAATACTTCTAATAAAAAACCACAATTGCAACATTTCTTCAAATAAAGAGCTTTCTTACTCAAGAATAAAAAATTCTTATATCGCATCGATGGCTATTTTCTTCTCATACATTTCTCTACAACTACATAGAAATTTATTTATTTATTTTTTTCTTTTTTTATTTCTATGTATTTCTAATTTAATTACACTTACGACAATAAAAATTTTTGATAAAGCTTTTAAAAATGTTCATTTACTCAATTAACATATTTCTGCTATTTATTGTAAACTATCTATTTAAAAAGTCTAAACTAATTTCATAAAAATCACAGATCATTAAATTTATTTTACTTCTAATTTAAAGCACTCATTTCATTTTTATAACCAAAGATAATTCGATCTCAAAAATTCAAAAGTATTTCATTATTCTCAGAAATTTAAGCTTTTAGTTTGTCTAGAATTTTGTTATATTTTAATTAAGTAAGAATCTTTGCGAATTAGCCTTGTAAATAATAAAAAATTCTTTCCAAATTATTAAATTATAACCTAAAAGATAGATAGGTGTTTTAATTAAGAGGTATCGAAAAAATTATATTTAAAAAATCCTTCTTCATTTAATATTGAATAAGAGAGAGTAACTTGATTAAGTATTATAAAAATAGAAATTGAGAATGAATTGTTTAAAATAAATAGCTTATATATTATCAATATAAATAAATTTAATATTAATTAATAGTTTTTTTACTTTGTTATAGATTAGATCAATTTACTAAATAAATAAATCCCAATTAATTATTATAATCAAACATCTTCTTTCATATTAAAATTAACTTCACCCTCATCTCCAAAATCTGAGTTTCTACCATCAGAAAAATCCTCTCTAAATGCTCCGTTTTCTTCATTGCCTGAATCAGAGAGGAGAACATCAGATAAGGCATCAAAATCTCTTTCTTTTAGTTAGCTTATTACTATACTTTTTCCAAATTATTACTGAAAAGCCTAATTTTATTGTTCATTTTTCACTGCCTCCTAAGTAACTATTTAGGTAAAATTATTATTTTGAGAATTTTCTGTAACTTGTTATATGATCTCTTATCTTGTTACTTTGAGTTAATTATTACTGTATGCATATGATTTTTTCAATCTAGATTGTGTTAGCTTGTGCTACTATTTGAAACCTCTATAGGCACCTCCAACTGTTAAATAAAGGATAAATGTTGCTGCAACAAAAGCAGCTATGCATCTTGAAGTGTTCATAAATTATTAAATATCTCCTCCATCAAAACTATCATAAAGAAGACCAGACACAAAAGGTCCTAAGAACAGACCAAGAGAGTAGCCAGCCATAAAAATTCCAGAACTCATATCGCTGCATGCTCTTGTTAATTTTGCATCTGCTTCTAAGAGATTTCTTTCTTTCAGCTCTTTATTAAGTATTAACTCTATGAATTCAGGAATACTAGGTAGTATAATCATAGCAAACGCAATATTGGTTACACACTATCCAATTGTCACTATATACCATCTATTATCGCCTGATGGCAGTCCAAGGTATTTCTCAGGAGCCTATATTTCAACACCTAAAGTCGCAATAAGAGTTCCCATAGATAAAATTAATTTTCTGCTTACAAATTTTGAAATCCTAGGGAGAATATGCAAACAGCCAATATAAAATAGTGAACCAATAGGGTAAACGTATCCAGAAATGTTATCACTTAATCCCAAGTTTTCCATATGTTAAGTAAATAATGTATTTATGTAAGACTAGGAAGTTAATCCTGCAACTAAAACCAAAAAGGTAAAAAATATATACCTGTTTGATAAGCATTGCAGAGAAGATACCTTTTCTATATCTTTTTTGGAATTAGCATCAGCAGGAAGCCATCTAAGAGTCAGCAAGCAGCAAAAGAAGAGAAAACCTAGTATATAAAAAGGCATTTGGCTTCCCAATCCTGTATACATAACTTAGCCTACAATAGGTCCTAAAATTGTTCCTAGCGCAGTTAAAGTTTCCATGATACTAATTTTTTTCTGTACACTAATTTAAAATATAAATCATTATTTATGGATTCATCTTTATTCTAATAATCATTGCAAAATAATATTATCAAAAAAAAAAATTAAAAAAATGATCAATTTAATTTTATGCAAAAAATCAAGAAATCTAATTAACTCAGAAAAAATTTATTTCTATTCAGTTTTCATCAAATATATTTTTTAATTATCTAAATAAAAGATCTATTTTTAGATTTTATAACAAATTTATAAACAAAGTAAGAAAAGTGATCTCTTGATTTATTATTAATTTTACTAATCAACATTTTAAGCTTAATTTTTACTAAAAGTTAAATAAAATCAAAACTTAAAAATAAATACCCTATTACATCTAAATCTATTAAAAAAAAAATTTATAACATCTTTGACCATATCAGTTTTATAAATTAGCCAAAAATAATGATAATAATAAGCATAAAATTCCGTGATTTAGAAGAAGTATGGTATTTTATTTAGTACTCTTTTCTTGCTTTATGCTTCATTTATTCGATTTAATTAATGCTATATTTTTGTTTCAAATATATAATTGCATCATCTAAATAATTTAATCTTTGGTTTTTATAATCATATAGAGTATGATATGTAAATTAAAAAGAATTACGAGTCTGGCCACAATTGAGGTACATAACCAAAAGATGAAGATCCATAAGCTGATCTAGCAGCTCCTTAAACAAATCTGGCAAAAGCAGACAAAATGATGAAAACTATGCTACTATGTAAGTTACTTAGAGCTCCAAATGAAGCTATAGAGATAGATTAAAATATGAGTCCCCAAATCATAAGATTCTTTTTTCCTAGTCTACCCATCAACTGTGCTACAATCAAAGAAGTTAAAAAACTACCTATAGGATTAAATGCAAGGATGAGTCCAATCATTGTTGATGACACACCAATTTTACTAGCTATTGGTGGAAAGAATGGGACTATAATAGATACAGCTGCATTCATAAAAAAGTTCATTGAAGAAAGGGCTATTAAATTAGCATCGATTCCAAAAAAAGTTTTTAGAGGGGGATTTTCATACTTTGCTCCTTTAGATTATGTACGGCTTACTAACTATTATTTAAGAGGCTCTTTAGAGCTATCATCATTATTCTGCATACTTTATAAAATACAACTTTAAAATAAATTAAACAAAAATATAAATTTAAAGATATTATTATAAAAATAAATAGATAGATAGATTTCAATATTTCAAAATTTAAACATCAAAAGTACTTCTTTTAATTAAAAAAAATCCAAAATTAAATTGTTTGTTTTGTGGGGGTTTTAGCATCTTAGATCATTTGTTAGATTTAATTTAAAGTAATTTGATACTAAACGAAGATACGTAATATAGAATTAAACTCGTATAAAGAGTATTAGTTTACAATCATAGATAACGTATGCATTTTTTAACACAAAATAATTATAAGAAAGCGATTGACAAAAACTTATTTTAAAACCAATCGTTTTACTAAATTTACTTTGAAGAAACATTGTATATAAATCAATTCCACCTAATTAATTTCTATAAATTTATCATAAAATTAGATTGCAAAATTGTTATAAGTAAAGAAATTTAGTAATTTAGTGTAAAAATACATTTTTTAAGATTATCAAAATTATTTTATTTTAAATAAAAATGAATGGTTAATATAATTTTCATTATTGAACTTCCATTTACTTAGAATAAAAATCTGAAAAGATATAAATAAAATTGATAATAGATTTTGATGAATCAATTTTTAAATAAATTTTTGTATTAAAATGTTAAATAATTTCTACTTCTATTAAAGTTGCGCATTAAAAGATAAAATTTTGTAGAAATTTTAATAAATTAATAGCATTTTTGATAAGGATTTTCTGCGAAATGTATGGTAAACCATTATAAATTTCACAAAAATAAATATTTGAATTACTTTGATAGTGAAAATGAGTAAATTAATTATTTATTTTTTATGGAGTATTTGAAGCAAAGCTAATTAAATCATAAAAAATACAAATCTATGAGCTTTTCTAGTATGACTAAAAACAATGAGTTTTATTAATTTCTTTCTTATATTTTTCAAAAATTTTATAGTAAATTATAAATTTGCATATTTTCTAAAAATTATTGATATTTATAAAAAAGTATTATTCTTTTTGCTAATTTAATTTTCCTTATTCAACAATAAATAATTGAATACTTAAATATATTTTTTATAATTCTTGAGTTAAATATTAGTTAAATTTTTTAATTTAACCTAACTATGAAAAAGTAAATTATTAGCAGAAATAAAATAGATTTCTTATAAATACAGTAATGTTAGAAAGATAGAAGATAGGGCACAATATGTAATAAAAAAAATTTTTTTTTAATATAACATTTTTATCATACTTTTAACTAAGTAATATTTAAATATTTTAAGAAATTTAAAAAAATACCTTTTAAAACCTCATCCAAACTCTTTATAATTAATGATTTATTTTTAAATATTTTATTTTTTCATTTTAAAAAGTAAGAAATATGTATAATTTATAAATTTTATTAAAAGTTTTTTATAATAAAAACGCATAAATCAAATAATTAATTTTAAAAGATTAAAATAAAAAATTAAATTTATTAATGTAATTAATTCTATTAAGATAACTTTTTTTGATTTGTAAAAATCTATTTTTGTTTTTTGTCTCTTTATTTTAGTAATAGCCTATTTACTATTTATTTTATTTTATGTTTAGTTGATTCATAATTTTTAATAATAAATATTAAAAAATTAAATTAGCAAAAATGCAAAACAGAAATGAAAAATGCTAATAATTTAAACTAAAAAATTATAAATAGAAATCTATTAATTAATTATCAATCAATTATTGATAAAAACATAAATTAATAAAGATATCAAAATCATTTAAATTAAAACTAATAATGTAAATCATCATTAATTCTCACCAATATCCTCCCAAACTATAAGTGACCCTAATGATGATAGCAAGAATTTTGAAAATTCTGAAATTTATGGTGAGAATTAATGTTATATTTTCTTAAAAAAATTGAATCTTTTAAAATGTTTTAAATGTTTTTTTTCAATTTTTCCTCATTTATTTTAATCAAATGCAATTTTTTACTTGTCAGGATATTTATTTTTTAATAAATTTTTATCAATATTTGTGATAATAAATGAGGGTTAATTATAAATAAAAAATCAATTGAATTAAATAATTAATTAATAAAAAGATAGATAGATAGATAGATATACACATTGACATAAAAAAAAAACAAAGAAAAATAATTTATAAGTATTAATTATGTTTGCTAAATTAGAAATATTCATTCATTATTTATAAACAAAAAATTTTTTTAATTATTTCAAGATTCACTTTGATTTTTATTATCTTATTTAATGTAAAAATTAATGCCATCTACTTCTTCAGTAACAGTATTTCTACCAAGAGAGTAAATTTCATCTTTATTTTATTATTCTAGATCATAGTCATCTGAATTAGACAAAAGTATATCTGATTACTCATAATTATTGTCACATAGTTTTTATGTTTGATTATTATGGTTATCAAGTTGGTTTTTTTCATTAATTTATTAACAGTTTAGTAGATCTTTATTTACTTCTAATGATGTTATTACTTCACTTTAGTTATTATTTTATGAATTTGTTGAGTTTTATAGATGGTTTTTATGTTTTTTATTTTAATATAAAATAACTTCATCATCTTTACCAACTTATAGTTTTCTTGATGAAGTTTTAGATAATTTTCTTAGCTTTTTAAGACCTCTGTGTGCTCCACCTATAGTAAAATAAAGGAATAACACAACTACTCCAAATGCAGCGATAACTCTGGAGGTGTTCATAAACTTTTCTATATCACTACCATCAAATACATCATATAGAATTCCAGATGTAAAGGGTCCTATGAACAATCCTAAGGAATAACCTGCCATAAAAATACCTGAACTCATGTCACTACAAGCTCTTGTTAACTTGGGATCAGCCTCTTAAATCTTTCTTTCTTTTAGTTCTTTTTCTAAAATTAATTCAATCAATTCTGGGATTATGGGTAAAACTACCATCGCAAAACCTATGTTAGTTAAGCACTGACCGATAGTTACAATATACCAGTGACCTTCTCCAGAAGGCAATCCTAAATATTTTTCAGGAGCAATGACTTCGACACCTATTACACACATTAAAACTCCTGCTGATAAAATTAATTTTCTCTTAATATATTTTGAGACTCTTGGCATAACATGTAAGCATCCAATGTAAAGAATAGAACCAATAGGATAAACGTAACCAGAAACATCATCACTTAAACCTAAGGCTTTCATATGTTATGTATATAATGTATTTATGTAAGACTAGTTAGTTAAACCTGCAACCAATGTCATAAATGTAAAAAATATATATCTGTTAGCTAGGCATTTCAAAGATGACACCCTATCAAGATCTTTCTTAGATTTCATATCTGGAGGAAGCCATCTAATAGTGAATAAGCAACAGAGAAAGAGAAAGCTTAAAATATAAAATGGCATCTAGCTACCTAGACCAGTATACATTACTTAACCCAGTATCGGTCCTAAAATCGTCCCAAGTGCCGTTAGTGTTTCCATAATACTTATCTTTTTCTAAACCCTATTTTTAATTAATTAATTAATTTTTTTATCATTTTGTAAAAAGCGTTTTTTGGTTAAAATAAATTTTTTTTCGCTTTATTTATTGATTTTTAAGTTGAATATCTATTGAATTATAATTAAAAAAAACTTATTTCATAATTCTTTTCCGATTTTAACAACCATTACAATAAAGGCTAATTTTAGTTAAGTTTTTTTTCCTTGATATTTTTATATCTGTTTTTTTCTTCTAAATTTTTTAGATCGAATAAATAATTTTGAATAATTTTTTTTTTTGGCTTTCACTTTAAACAAACAATTAATTAATTAATTTCTAAAATTAAATATAAATTTGAGATTGAATTACATCTTAAAAAAATCAATTAAAATCTATTTTAGTAAAATGTAAATAAAATTTAAGTTAACTTTCAATCAAAAAAATCAAACTTAATCATAAATTTTTATTTTGGAATTATTTTTAATAGAATTTAACATCATTTTAAACTTTGCTGCCAATCAATAAAAAATTATTTTTAGTTAGTGTGGGTGAGATAGACTTCATAAAATACTGAATGTTAATAGGGAGTTTAATATAATTATGCAGAGATTGAAAAATATAATTTATCTTAAATCAAAAATAATAAAAGTTAGCCTATAATTTAATTTTTTCCAGTTTAGTAACAAAGAATTATCTTGAAAAAATATTACATTTTGATAGATATATGTTTATTTATCTATTGATTGATTAATAGAAGATTAAATCTGACTGAAGTTATTGTTTAAATTCTTTTATTTGTAAAGTTTTGTAATTACGCACTAATGAATAAATAAAAACCCTTTCTTTATCAGATTTCTAATAATTTTTTAGTTTAATTAATTAGTTAATGTGTCACAATACTAAAAATCTAATATATTATTATCTCAGTATTCTTTTATGGAAAGTCTAAAGAACATTAATATTAAAATGTTACTTATTTCAAATAATAAATTAGTGTTTGAGTTAAATATTCTCAACTAAGAGATCAATAAAAGTAAAAATTATTGTTTTTTAACATTATTAAGCTAAACAATGTTTATTATTCATAAGTAAAAAATTGATACATTTTTTAATTTTAGTTCACTTTTCAGTAAAAAAATATTGCTAATATATTTTAGCTAATTCTACTAACAAAATTTTTAAATAAAAACTTTTTTATCAAATATTTTTTATGATTTAAATGCAAAATAATTACGAATCTGGCCAGAGCTAAGGAACATATCCAAAAGACGAAGATCCGTATGCAGATCTAGCTGCTCCTTAAATAAACCTGGAAAAAGCAGATAGAATGATAAAGGCAATATCATTTTTTAAGTTACTTAGAGCACCAAACGAAGCAATAGATAGTGATTAAAATATTAAACCCCAAATCATTAGATTCTTTTTGCCTAGTCTTCCCATCATCTAACCCACTATTAAAGAAGTTAAAAAACTACCTATAGGATTAAAAGCGAGGATTAAACCTATCATTGTTGAAGATACACCTATGCTTTCAGCTATTGGTGGAAAGAAGGGTACAATAATAGATACAGCGGCATTCTAAAAAAAGTTCATTGAAGAAAGGGCAATTAAATTCGCATCGAAACCACAAATAGTCTTTAAAGGAGGATTTTCATATTTAGAACCTATTGAACCCTTAGGATTTATCAATGGCTAATTTAAAGATTCCTTTTCATTGCTATTTTGCTATTACTACATAGTTGTTATTTTCTATTATGATTTTAGCTTTTATTCTTACTTACTTACTACTTGATTATTTTACTCAAATTAACAATTAATTTAATAATTTATAATTTAAAATACGATTGATAGATAGATGAATTTAATTAATTTATCTTAAAGCATAAAAAATAAACAAATTTTTAATCAAAAATTGATTTATTTGTTACTAAAATATGCACTATACTTTCCTCAAAAGATTTCATATTCTTACTTAACTTTAATAAATAAGATTTAATATTTTTATTTTTGATTACGTTAGTTATTTGGTTAGTTCTAAAAAAAAATAACTATCATGCTCATTTCTATGAATATTTTAATTAATAATCTATTTACAATTAATATTTCTAATTTATCTGTTTATGATTTTTATTCTTTTTAATAAAGCATTAACTCCTACATTGCAGTTTGAATTAAATATGATTTAATTCTTTCTAAATATTAAAAAACCAAAAAATGTGATAAGACAATAATTATTTTTGTCTTTTTATCTGTGAAATATTAAAAAATAATAATAAAATAAATTTATTTGAAATAAAATATTTTAAATTATTTTTGTTTTATAAAAGGCTAATGAGATTGTTATTTTTAAATACCAATAAAAAAATATTTATTAGCATTATCTTACTATATTTAATAAATATAAATATTATCAAAATTATTTAAATTTTAAATAAAATATTTTATAAATTTATGAAAATTTTAAAAACAATACTTGAGGAAATAACAAAATATAAAATATGTATAATAATTTTTTTATTAATTAAATTATTTTAATATGTTCCCATTCGACTAACTTACTAATATCTATACATTTTTTTATCTTTTATTATTTTTTTTAAAGCTAACAAATTTTATTACTTGTTTTGATTTCTTATTTTCATTACAATTGTATTGTTTTTTTGAATAATAATAAGGTTTTTTTCTTTAAATAGTGTATTTTATATTTTCAAATTATATTCATTCCATGATAAATTAACATCTCATCCTGTAAAATAGGCCTAATCATTAAGGAGCTAATTTTCTTCTCAACATAACAACCGATTTAAAAATACATATATCCATGTTTTCTTTTTTAAAAATATTGAAAAGAACTTTTATCTTTTTTTTTTTGGTCGTAATTTATCAATATAAGAACAAATTTAAAATTCATATTAATCATTTTAATCTTCATATAAAAGAAATTTAATTCATTAAAATAAAAGTATATTTTATAAATATTAACTTTTTTTATTATTAAGCAATATAAATACATGGTCAAAAGAAAAAATTTATTTGAAATCTTAAAAAATTAAATATTTTTACATTTAATATTTAAAAAAGTAAATATATATAAAAAACATAACGAATACCTTCATATTGTTTCTTTAAAGATTTATTTAATCTTAAATGTCTTTTTATCAATTATAATAAAATTCGCAAATAATATAAGATAAATAAGATTAAATAGAATAAATAGTTAGAAAATAAATTCTTTTATTTTAATTAAATCAGATAGATTGATTATGAATAAAAGAAGAAAAAGATGTAGATGATCACTAAGAGGTTTGAATTTATTTAATTTACTAATTTTATTACATTTCAATTAATTTTTTTTGAGTTTAAAACTAGGAAAATTAAAGCAGCTTCCAATAATTTTTAATTTACATTTTTTTTATCATAAAAAATTTTCTTTTGATGTTTTTTATCAAATTTTTATATGGAGATAGATCCAATTTTCCTTGTCTTTAATTATTATAAATTTAGACAGAGTTAATAGATGCTTTCATTCTTAAAAAAAGTAATTCAAATGGTTGAATATTGCATTCAATTTATGGATTTGATGAGTAAAAATTTGATATTTATTTAGTTGTTTTGTTTTCTTTATTTTCTGATTAATTTAAAATTTAATTTTCTCCTATTTATATAAGGAAACATTTAGAAGCTTTTTAATATTCACAATGAATCACATTTTAATTTTTGTGATTATTTTTTCAATTTAAAAGGCTAATTAATATCTGTCACCATCTACTTTTATTTAGGTTATACTATTTATTATTTAATATATTATCAAATATTAAAGATAAAGATTCAGAAATTACTGTATTAAAATAATTAAATGAGCTTCTTATTAATTCATGTTTATAAAATCCATTATTATTTAACATATTAAATAATAATTTTGTCTTTCAAATCAACATTTAAGGATAGATAAGATCCTGATTTACTTATAAAAATACTAGAGTATTTTGATATCTTTTTTAATAAATATCATATTTTTTACTTGCATTAAGTTTAAAAATTCATTTACTTGATAAATATATATATATTCTGAATGTAATTTATCAGTGTTACTCCTATTATATTAATACAAACATAATTATATCTAATTTCTGGTTGTTTTCAATTAGATTTTTTATCAATTAGAAATATGTTGGATTTATTTATAGTCATTTCATTTGATCTATTCCTTTTTCAACTCAAATAATTAAAATGCAATCCAAATACACCTAGTTAGAAGTAATTAATATTAATAAAACAAAAAAAAAGTAAAATCAGATTATTAGATAAAATTACTTTTATATGCTTTTAAAAAAGACGCTAGTTTGCCTTTCAATATTATTGATTTTAGCTCAATGCTAAAATTTGAATGGTAAAAGAAATATGTACAAATTACTATCTTCTAGTAATATTGAAGAGGCCATGTAAGAATTGTGTCCCTTCCCTGGTTATCATGGTACCTATTGTCCTTAAGAAAACGTTGCTTTTGCTTCCTATAAGAGAAATCTATAATCTGGAATCCCTAAAATGCCTTCAGGTATTGGTGCTTCCTTCGATATTTCTACAGGTGAACTCAAGCTCCCAGCTATCTAACTCACTTATTAATCTGAACCCAGCTAAGAATAAATTTATACTGACCCTCTTTCTAGTCGTCAATTTATTGTTGCTGATGAAACATCAATAGAATAGGTTAATTTAGATGCTGATATCAGAGTTTTCAAAAATGAATTTGAACTTACTAATATCTGGCTTGACGCTACTCAAAATGGATAATGGCTTGGAGGTGAATACAGTTAATCTAAAGATTTAAATGATGTCTACACTAGATTCTTCACAAATAACTAATAAACATCTATTGCCTAACAATCTAAAAATGTCATCAGAATGACTTTCAAGACTGATAGCTTGAAGCTCAATAGATTCGCTCAAAGAGCAATTGACGCTTTACCAGAAGATTACTAAGTTGATGTTTACAATGAGTTCTTAAATGCTTGGGGAACTCATATTTCTGTTGATACTTTTGTTGGAGGTATGATTGAAAAATAAACAGTGTTTAAAGATTGCGTTTTCTTCACTCCTTAATTTACTGGTGGTTACTCAGCTGAACAAGTAAATGAAGCTTTAAGAAATGAATTGTAGGGTAATCCAGCTGAAGGTTTTTTCACTGCTAGAAGATAGGTAACTTTGGATCATAAATTTGGTGGTAATCCAGAAGATGTTGCTAATTGGGAATAGACAATCAGCTAAAATCCTGCGTTGTTAAAAATTAATAGATTCTTATCTTGGGATAACATGGCTGCAAATCCTTAAGTTAAGGCAAATTTATAACAAGCTATTAATAATAGAATCGAATCAATGAGACAAAGGCAGTAGAGCTATTAGGACTAAGTAAGAGAATAAAGAAGAGTTGAAAGAATATAACCTAGAACTGCTTGGGCTGTAGGAGGAAATGGTTATTCTGCAGGAGCTCACCCTCTACCTGCAATGATCAGTATTACAAGATAATTTGAAATGAAACATGCTGATTCATGTCCTGTTGGAGCAGATAGAACATATGCTGAACAATTCTGTGTATCTGGTCTCGTTCATTCACCATATGATTTGTTTAAAGAAGTAAGATACGAAAGAGATTAATAAGGTAATTATAGATCTATTATGTATAATTTATTTGCTGATGTTACAGGAGGCCCTAAAGAATTTGTTGGAGATTTTGTTGATAGAGGATGTAGTATTGCTTAATATTTTGAGGATACCAAATACACTGATTTTAATTTACCTCCTCCTAACGAAACTATGTTCAAATTAGTTTGTACTGATTGTATTCCTAGTGTTTATAACAGTCCTTAAGGATAAATATTGTAATGTAGTTGCCCTGCTTTTTGAGGAATCTTTAATACACAAGCATAAACAAGGAAAATTTAAATATAAATTAAGTTATTCTTAATAATAAAATCATCTATTTATAAAGTTTTAAAAACATAAATATCATAAATAGAAAATTTACATTAAAAAAATTTTTTTAATATTTTTTTTCTCTTTTGATAAGATAACATTTTTTAGATATTTTTAGAATTATTAAGTTGAAGAAATAAATAAAAAAATTAATTTACATGAAAATAATATTTTTTACTTAACATTTTATCAAAATAAAAAAATATTTAAATAAATTGTAAATAGAATATCTTAGTTTTTTTTAAAAATAATTAATTTGCTTTTAACATAGTGTATATCCTAATTAATAATAGTTCGGATCTTTAGCTCTTTTATTTAATTCGGTAACCATCAACCTATTTTTAGAAATTTTCCTTTAAAATTTTTTTATGTTCTAAAATGATAAATTAAATATTAATAAAAGGTGATTATTGATATAATCATAGTAAAAATTTATTTAATTTTTTGAGTTTAAAACTAGTATTTTAATATGATTTATTAATAAAAAGTGCATCAATATTTTTCCCTTTATTTTCTATTTTCTTTATATTTTACATACTTTTGATTATTTTATCATTTGATAAAAGCAACTGTTTACTTCAACCTTTTCCAAGTTCATTTATTCAATTAAATTACTATGCTCTTTAAATATAAATAAAATTTTGTTAGTATTTTAATTTACAATTAGTATTTTAATTGTCTTGGTTCGAAAAAAGTAGTTGCTATTTAAAAAAAATTATTCATATCTTTTTTATTAAGACCAAGAAATAAATGTTGATTTACGCAATTAATTTTCACATGAAGTGATATATAATGTTGAGCTGATGAATGTGCTTATCTGATATAAAAGTGTAAAAATTGTATTTTTATAGGCTAGTTTAACAAAATAATCAATGTTATTATATCAGAAATTAAATCTATAAAACATGAACAAATATTTACTTTTGTTGCTTACTTCAAAATTAAGTAATTACTTATTTATATTTCTGAATAAATGAATAAAGATGCCTATATTTGCACTTTAAAAAATTTTGGCTTTACTCTGAGTATATGATAATTAATTGTTCTAATTATTTTGTTAATTTTGCTCCTTTAATAAAATTTATCAGTTTATTCTTTTATAAACAATATCATATTATCATACAATTTTAGTAATACCTAATATTTTATCTTATCAATTTGGTTTTTCTTATGACTTTTTTGATCAACAAGAATCAGCTTTAATTATAATTTTTTCCATCTATCCATCTTCTTTATTTACTTTCTCTTCTTTCAATTAGAGAGCAAACTAAATACTCCAAGCTAAGGATTAATAATTATAATGTATATTAAAAAAAAATAAAGCATATTCCAAATTATAAAAAAGAAACTAACTTATAAATGCTTCTTAAAAAGACACTTATTTGCCTTTCAATATTATTGATTTTAGCACAATGCTAAAATTTGAATGGCAAAAGAAATATGTACAAATTACTATCTTCTAGTAATATTGAAGAGGCCATGTAAGAATTGTGTCCCTTCCCTGGTTATCATGGTACCTATTGTCCTTAAGAGAATGTTGCTTTTGCTTCCTATAAGAGAAATCTCCAATCTGGAATACCAAAAATGCCTTCAGGTATTGGTGCTTCCTTTGATATTTCAACAGGTGAACTCAAGCTCCCAGCTATCTAACTCACTTATTAATCTGAACCCAGTCAGGAATAAATTTATACTGACCCTCTTTCTAGTCATCAATTTATTGTTGCTGATGAAACCTCTATAGAATAGGTTAATTTAGATGCTGATATCAGAGTTTTCAAAAATGAATTTGAACTTACTAATATCTGGCTTGACGCTACTCAAAATGGATAATGGCTTGGAGGTGAATACAGTTAATCTAAAGATTTAAATGATGTCTTCACTAGATTCTTCACAAATAACTAATAAACATCTATTGCCTAACAATCTAAAAATGTCATCAGAATGACTTTCAAGACTGATAGCTTGAAGCTCAATAGATTCGCTCAAAGAGCAATTGACGCATTGCCAGAAGATTACTAAGTTGATGTTTATAATGAGTTCTTAAATGCTTGGGGAACTCATATTTCTGTTGATACTTTTGTTGGAGGTATGATTGAAAAGCAAACAGTGTTTAAAGATTGCATTTTCTTCACTCCTTAATTCACTGGCGGTTACTCAGCTGAACAAGTAAATGAAGCTTTAAGAAATGAATTGTAGGGTAATCCAGCTGAAGGTTTTTTCACAGCTAGAAGATAGGTAACTTTGGATCATAAATTTGGTGGTAATCCAGAAGATGTTGCTAATTGGGAATAGACAATCAGCTAAAATCCTGCATTGTTAAAAATTAATAGATTCTTGTCTTGGGATAATATGGCTGCAAATCCTTAAGTTAAGGCAAATTTATAACAAGCTATTAATAATAGAGTCGAATCAATGAGACAAAGATAATAGAGCTATTAAGACTAAGTAAGAGAATAAAGAAGAATTGAAAGAATATAACCTAGAACTGCCTGGGCTATTGGAGGAAATGGTTACTGTGCAGGTCAACATCCTCTTCCAATAAGTATTAGTATTACAAGATAATTTGAAATGAAAGCTGCTGGTGTATGTCCTGTAGGAGCTGATAGTACTTATAGTTAAACTTTCTGTGTATCTGGTCCCGTTCATTCAGTATAAGATTTGCGTAATGAAGTAAGATATGAAAGAGATTAAGAAGGTAATTACAGAACTATTATGTTTGACTTTTACTCTGGTGGTGGTCCTAAAGAGGTTTATGGAGATTTTACTGATAGAGGATGTAGTGTTGCATAATATTACGAAGGTACTAAATATACTGATTTTAATTTACCTCCTCCTAACGAGATGATTTTTAAAATGATTTGTACAGATTGTATACCAAGCGTATATAATAGTCCTTAAGGATAAGTTTTCTAATGCAGTTGCCCTGCTTTTTGAAAGCATTCATACTTAGGGAATAAGCTTAAAAAAAATAAAAAATTTAAAAAATATATTAAAATTGCTAATATGATAAAGAAAATTTTGAGCACTCATAAAAAAATTTACAAATAAATAATAAAGATTATTTAAATAAAATTTATATAAAGTTTATTTTTTTTGATTTTGCAAAAATTCTTCTTCAAAATATCATTTCAAATATTATATAAAACATTTTTAATATTTTATTTATTCATTAATTCAAAACAATAAAGGAAATGTTAACTTTCACTTATTATTACATAAACATCTTAAAAATATAAGCAAAAAAAAAAAATCAAACGATAAAAGAATTAAATGTATTGAAATTTTTTGTTATTTTCATATTAATTTTTATTTTTAATGAATGCTAATAATTATAAACAGCTATAATTTTGTTTTTGTGGCACTTTAATTCCATACATCTATATATCTATCCATTTTATCTATAATTTAAAACATAGTTTAAATACTTGAATAACTGTTTGCAGAACAAGCTTTATCTTTTCAGCAGTTATTTGCTTTTTATATCAATAATGAAATCAAATGAAATAACTAATTAATTGGATTTATTGGAAAACAAACATAAATTATTTTATTTTTTATTAACATGATATTTTCTAAATTGATATTTAATATTTTTGACAATTATTTGTCATTTTATCAAAAGTAAACATAAAAACATAAATCACGAATTCGATATTATCAGAAAAATATAAATTATTATTAGGATTTGAACAATCAATAAAGTTTACCCATATTTTGGAAAATTTTTTATAACAAACAAATAAATAATATTTATTATTCATTTTTAATAACCTGCTCTAGACAAATTTTGTCCATTACTGAATAAATGAGTATCCAAATAATCATATATCTATGTATCTGGGTTTTATGTAAAACTACTATAAATTTATTTAATTAATTAAATAAATATTCTCATTTTTTAAAAATGAACATTTTTTTGTTCTATATCTTAATTATTTTTTCATATTTGATTTTAAAATGCTTAAGAAAATTAATCAAAATACAGAAAATTTTTTTCAAATATATTGAATTTTTTAAAAAATCTGTAGAATTATTAATTTGAATAAATTAAAAATTAGCCACCTATTTTTAGAAATTCTCTTTTGAAATTTTTTATGCTCTGTATTAATATATTAAATATTAATAAAAGTTAATTAATTATTGAATAAATTAAGAGTAATTTTCAATGCTTAGTAGATACTTTCTATTTATTAATAATCTTTAATATATTTTAGTTAGTTAAATAAATATTTTTAATTAGATTTATTTGCACAAGCAAAATTTTATTTATTTTACTTCATCTTTAATTAATTAATTAATTTTTGATCAATTAACATCTGATTTCTTTGATAATTTAATGCAAAATTATTTTTTTGGGAAATAATTTTTTAAATAAAAGAACCATTAAAGATAAAATTATAGATATATTTAAATATATTTTTATTATAATATTCAATTATTTAAATAATTTAAATATACAGCCTATATTAAGTTAAACATAAATATTATGATAAAGCCGCAAATCCTTAAACTTAAACTTCGCATGCATATCTACTTACACAAACTGTAAATATATTTATAGAATATTTAATCTAAATATAATTATTAATAATGTATTTAAAAAAATAATAATACTAATTAATAAAAACAAAATTTTATTTTTAAAAATGGATTGGATTAATTTTATTTTCTTAATACAATTCTTTATTTTAGAGTAACTATAAAAATTATAAATAATTAATAAAACACATATTCCTGTTCTTTTTATGCTAATTTAATTGGAGTCATTAAATATCAAAAGATTAATCATTCAAAAAATATGCTTGAATTTATTTTCATTTGATTTTTATTTATTTTTAGTATTTTTTTCCTTTTGGTTAATATCTTTTTTTGCTGATTAATTAATTAGTAAAAGTTCTATTGAAATAAAATTAAAATAATCTGTGGTAATT